AAGGTGCAAAAAGCAGTTTCTTGACACGTTTTCCTGTTGGCATTTTTCCGTTTTGTGCCTTCTAACATCTTCTAACAAGACAATCGCTTGGATCCTGAAAGCATTCGTGACGACCCCGGAGCCAGCGTCACAGCATCGCAGAGACTGCGAGACACAGGGAGACAAGTTGGAGACACGACCCCGGAGCCAGCGTCGCAGCATCTGGCCTCTGACCGCAGAAGCTGAGGGAGACACGACCCCGGAGCCAGTGTCACAGCATCTGGCATCCGACCGCAAAGACTGATGACTCGGAGACACAGGGAGACAAGCGGGAGACACAACCCCGGAGCCGGCGTCACAGCATCAGCCTCTGACTGCAGAAGCTGGGAGACACAGGGAGACAAGCGGGAGACACGAACCAGAGACTGTGAGACACAGGGAGACAAGCCCCGGAGCCAGCGTCACACACTGGGGAGACACAGGGAGACGAGACTGTGAGACAAAGGCACAAGCGACAAGACCCCGGAGCCGGCGTCACAGCATCTGGCATTCGACAGAGACTGGGAGACACAGGGAGACAAGCGGGAGATGGGAGACACAGGGAGACACAACCCCGGAGCCAGCGTCAGACGCCAGACACAGGGAGACAAGCGGCAGAAACAACCCCGGAGCCATGGCATCTGACCCGCAGAGACTGGGGGAGACACAGCATCTGGTCTCTGACCGCAGACAGGGAGACAAACGGGAGACACAACCCCGGAGCAGCATCGCAGAGACTGTGAGACACAGGGAAACAAGCGAACCCTTGCAGCCTGCTAAGCACTGGCTGACCGTTTGTCCCGGATCGACGCGGTGGCTGCTGATGCGCAGGAAGGCGCCCGCTGTGCACAGCATGTTCTCGCTCGTCAGTCGTCCGCGGTGTCCGTCGCCGTTGGCCCATGTTGCTTCGGCCTCAGAGGCAGTGGGGCTAAAAGGCTGCACTACGCGAGGGCACGGCAGACAGCGAAAGATTGATGTTCTCCTCATTGGTGGACATGTCTCCGCCATGTCGGCCTGCGAAGGCCCATGCGGAATCTGTCATAGAGAAGTCTTCGTCGCTCGACATTCTTCCGGGAAACCTGCTCCACTACCACGATTGAAGTTGGATTACGGGGGCCTCTGTTGGCTGTGTGTCCGTGTGTGTGTTTGTGTCTGTGGACGTGCTGCAACCTGGGCTCAAACTGCAAAAGCTGCGGGAAGTCGTTGTCAAAGCAAAACATCATGCCCTCGACAGAGTGCGCCTTGCTAACTCTCGCTCCTCAGCACAACCCAATCCCAACTCCCCCTGCTGCGACGACCCCGTTGAAGCGACCCAAAAACGAAAACAGTGTCTGGACGCCTTGTGCTTCTTCCATCAACACGAACTTGCTTCACACAAACAACGAACATGACTGAGCCCTGGACCATCAGATGCCAACGCGACGCACACTGCCAGCCCATGCAAACCCTCATGAAATGCATGCAAAAGTTCTTGGCTCAATACTACTTTAGAATTTGCCCAATTCTAAACTAGTATTCCCCCAAAGCAAAATAAGGAAAAACAACATGCCCAATACTACTTTTGAATTGGCCCAATTCTGAAGTAGTATTCGAACACCAAAAAACAGAGCCCAATACGCAACTCCTTTAAACAAAGCCCGACCCTGAAAATTCTCCCCTAATCTTTATTTATGGTCATTTAGGGGTGGGGGGGGGCCTATTTATTAATCATGGGTCAACATTAAACACCTCAGGAAGCCAACAAAAAACCAATAATAAACGGGAGACAAACCAACTAAAAAGCTTTAAAAAAAAACGAGTTGCGCCGGACGTTCCCTGGTTAAACCACCGCTCCGGCAAACTCGCCTATCAATGGCCCGTGAACCTGAACTCCTCCTCGTGCGCCGGGGGGGGAGGGGGGGTGTTTCTTGTTTGCTTCTGTTGCTCATAGGCAACATGTACAATGTGCAGACATTCCGCTGCCATTTGGTTCAGAGCGTCCTCGGCTCGAACGAAAGCGTCGTGCATCGTGACATGACGCGGCTCTGGCAGCTCTGGAGAGGCAGGGACACGAAGGACATACGCAACGCGCGTCGGGCCAACTCAGCCTCCTTCTGAAGCAGACGGCTGCCGCCGCCCTCGAAGGGATCGGCCAGCAGCAACAGACATTCGTCCACGAAGTGGTCCAGTCTGGCGAGCCGCAGGCTCTCACGAACAGTTGCCCACCAGGCTGCTTGCGCGGAGTCTCTTCCACCAGGCTCCAAGAACACACAGCCGCTTTGGCTGTCCCACTCGCACGAGTCTTTCGCCTTTCGCCAGGAGGAGCAGCCAAAGATAAGCACGGACTGTTTGCAGCAGATCCCATCCGTGCGGCCGACACAGGCGGCCAAGTAGACACAAGAAGCGAAGCGAGCGGAGACGCACTGGTCGTACTGCCCCACAATGATGCTCAGCATGTGCTGCAGCAGCAGCAGCTGAATAAGGGCCACAGGTCGCGCTGCTTGCAGCAGCAAAGCGGCGAGCGCGGTGACGCGCGAATGAGCGGCCTGAACCAAGGTGTTCACTTCTCGCTGTAAGGCGTCGTCGGACGCTGCGCGCGTGTCCCAACGAGCAAGATCATCGACTGCGTCTGTGTCCGTCAGCAGTGCCAGCTGTGTCCCTCGCCCCTGCTTCAGCTCCGACACAAAGTGTGCAGAAGCGATCTCGGAGCTCAGCAAAGACACTTCGCTGACCGTCGGTGGTCACTGTCCGCACATTCTGCGCGCCACCCTCTATCTCAATAGTCTCTACGGTGTCTTGAAACAAAACGGCTCGCAGCGGCTTCGGCGAGGCCTGTACTGGCGCTCCCGCAGAAGCCTGCACTGGCGAAGCCTTTAAGGCTGGCTGGAGGAGCTTTGGCTGCGCCATCGGCGCTGGAAGCTGCCACGGCCGCAGCTGAAGTGCCGCCATGGGCATATGCGGTGGTGCTTTTAGGCGGCGCCTGAACCTTCGGCGGTGCTTTGACTTTCAGCTGCGCCGCCGGCGGAGGTGCCTGAGTATTAGACGTGGCGCCTGGCGCCGTCTCGCGAGGCAGCGCAGCGCTTGATTTTTGGAGGCTCGAAGGAGGAGCCTTGACTTTTCTAGCAGGCGCACACTCGGTGGCGAAGAACGCCTCCATCTCGGCCTGATAGTCTACCGGCGGCGCGCGCTCCGCCGGTAGCCTCTTGCGCGCTGTCGCCGGTGGCTCGGGGCCGAGCCGCAGGTCCGCAAACCACCGGGCGCACAACTCTTCGGCAGCCATCTCCCACGGCTGCGCTCGAGGATCATTCTGCTGCGCAAGACACAGAGAACAGTACTTAGGATACGAAGTCAGCAGATCATCGAACACTGCTGGCCACTCGGAAAGAACAGTCCAAGACTCAGGCAAAGACAACTCTCCGAGACTGCTCAAACCTTAGCAGAAACCAGACAGCAGGTTGAACTTGCTCAGATTTTCGAGCCACAGTTCGCGGCCTGAACTGGCTCGCGAGCGGCGGCTATCAAAGATTTGCTCCAAAGTGCACCCGTCTACGCGCACGTCAAAAATCACAATGTCACCAGCTCGCCGACGCCAGTCCCACGTTTGGAAGGCGCTTTTGTATTGTCGCATCACGCAGTGTTGCACTTGCGCGATTTGAGGGCTGTGCCGCAGGGCGTCCACCGCCACTCGCTCGGAGGCCCATATAATTCTCAAACTACCTCGCCAGAGGCTTCGCATCTGCATCACCCGAAAAAACAGCCATATGCCTCGACCGAGTAACATGCTGCAATGCTTGCCTTTTCGACACACTGCCCAGATTTGCCGGGCGCTGGCATTCATGGCTCGCCGGCTGCGAAACCAAAACACTATCTGCAGTAGCGCCCCCAGACTGCAGGACATTCACTGCGTTCTCCTGGCGGTTTTGGTCCAGCAGGCTGCAGGTCACGCCACCAGCGCCACCGCAGAGCTTGCGCCTCTGTATCGCACAATTGGCGGCTGCTCAGTCAAACAAATGAGGCCGGCACCCTAGCGCGAGGCATCGGAAAAGGACCTTGGAAGGCCAAGGCTCTTGCAGCTGCCCCCCCCCCAAAACCAAAAACACGAGGCCCGCGCCAGATCGACGAGCAACGCCGCTCACCTGCACAAGAAGCAGCCAGGCGAACAACGAGACGAGAAAAAAAAGGGAGCCAAGGCCCGCGCCAGCTCTTTGAAGACGACCCCACTGCACGACGGCCGGCCGACGAGACGAAGCGAAAAAAACTAAAAAACAGCCAAGGCCCGCGCCAGAAGACGAAGAAGAGCACCTGCGCGAGCGAGACGAGCGACGACGAGACGAAACAAAAAAAAAAAAAGGAGAAAAAAAAGGCCCGCGCCAGAAGACGAAGAAGAGCACCTGCGAGAGCGAGACGAGCGACGGCGAGACGATTCGGAAAACAAAACAAAATAGCCAAGGCAATGAAGAGCACCTGCGCGAGCGAGACGAGCGACGACGAGACGAAACGAAAAAAAAAAAAAAAAAAAGGCCCGCGCCAGAAGACGAGGAAGAGCACCTGCGAGAGCGAGACGAGCGACGACGACACGAAACGGAAAACAAACAAAAAAGCCAAGGCCCGCGCCAGAAGGCGAGGAAGAGCACCTGCGCGAGCGAGACGGGCTCGGAAAACTGAGACAGGACAAGCTATGGCAAATGCCTCTCACTCGTAATGAAGCTCAGTTCATTCGCTTGGAGGACGGTCTCGCCGTCCGAGCTGATCTTAAAGTGCAAGCCTTCGAAGCTGAACACTTCAGATCCTTAGATGGGCAAGAGCAGAAATGACAGCAGAAGGACCCCATAAGAAACTGCAGTTTTCGACTCTATGAAATCTGCCAAGTAGCCACTTGGTAAATGACCTACTTTTGTAGGCCATCTGGATGGCGCGATGGGGCTAGGCGTGGCGCTCTTCAGTCACACTACGGTGTCAAACTAAGGAGCCAAAGCTGAGACCACACAATGCAACAATGCCAAATGTGGATCATGGGGGGGGGGTCAGCATATATATATATATATATTATAATATGAATAATAGATTCCCAATAACACCAATAGGGGAACTAAAACAAAAGGGAGATCATCGGGTCTTGGGACGCCAGGCTTGAATATCTAGTGAAATGCCGTGACCAAACTTCCGGGTCCTGGTTTTCTCCTCCAAGAGGGCAGTCCCATCTCCACCCCAATCGTGACTCACCCATCCCAAACCTCCTGTTCTGGGACCCCCGCCGAGTCGATCAAGTGATGATCCACGTTCGTGGAGGAGTCGATCCTCACAACTTTTGCAAAGCCGAGCCCCGCTTCGGCGATCGCAATCTCCCAAAGCTCTGCCATGGAAACGAAAGGTGCACCTTGCAGGCCCTGAACATAGACCAAAATGGAAAACTTGATCAAAAGATCGAAAGCTCAAATCTAAGCAACTGAGAAGGAAAGCCGGAACCCAACAAAAGCAGGACAAGCCCGCATGCGGCTTCAGGCTCGGGGAGGGGGAAAACATTAAAGTTGTCTTGTATCCATAAACATGGTTTGTCAAAATCACAGGACCCCTTCCCCGCGCCCCCCCCCACTTCAGACGGCGCGAGGCTTTTCTAGCCGTGGCGTCGCTCTTTTTCTAGGGGACCCTCCAAATGGGTGGGTTTTGCTGTTGTGTTCCCTTTAAAACAGCTCCAAAAGGGGGTACCCTCAAAAAGACCTGTCCATATGGTTAGGTACAGTAGTTGGCTTCCTCTTGGTTTCCTGTTGAAACCATTCCAAAACGGGACCCCTAGTTGAGAAACGCCCAGAGCAGGCAGCCAAATCGAATTGGATGGTGAGGTTACAATGTCAATTTAGGGTGCCTAATGTCATTACTTTGGCTCAGATGATGTGAATTCATCCCTTGCTCCCAAAAAATGGAGTTCCAAATCCGACCCGCTTACGAATTGGCATCTCTGCAAGCATTGGGTAGTCTTCTCAAACAATGAGCACTGCCAGACCAGACATGGTTGATAGCTCTGCCTCGCCATCGGTTGCTGCTCGCAAGGCAAGGAAAGAAATGGATCGCCCACTAAGCCAGTGAGCCACGATCAGAGCCCCAGTAAGTGAAGTTCGGAAGCATGTCTCGACAAAATAAGTGCAGCAAAAACCACTCGTGTTTATGTTACTTACATGCTGTTGACTCGACTTCTTAAATTCGCATGTACGAATGGGAACTCAGGAGTCAACACGTCAACACGTTGATCCATAGTGGGGTGTCCCATTGAATGAATCCATCACTTTTGGGGGAACACATTTCCTAGGTCCTCCAGAAGAGAGGTTAGAATAAGGGTACCAACTTTTTTCTGCAGTCTATTTTGAACCCTCCCCAAAAAAAGAAACGGCACAAGAAACGGCACCTAGCTGGGGGACCAAAATTTCCCCTCCAGCCTAACTCTGCTAGAGCGCTGCAGCCTTGCTGGGGCCAAGGGGCGTCACATTCATCAATGCGTCGATCTTCTTCAGCGCATCCTCTTTCAGCAACTGGCCGGCAGATCGGCTCTGGAAGGGGCCGAAGTGCAAACTCGGTTGCTTTCTTCTCCCCTGCTAAAAGTTTAGCTTTTAGTGGTTGAATGGAAAAAAGACATTAGTTGGCCAAAAGTTAAAGCTCTAACATCCAAGCAAAATGCAACCAAGCAATAACGGGCGCTCCCCCCGCACCTCCCAGACTTGTTGTGTCCAGCCTGTACGCAAAAAAAAAAAAAGAAGCTCAGGTGATATCCCCAACAGCATGCGGTGCTCTTTTTAGTGCTCGCACCTCACAGCCCTCGCAAAACCCTCGTGGAACCTTGGTGGAACCCTGGTGGAACCTTGGTGGAACTCTGGTGGAACTCTGGTGGAACTCTGGTGGAACCCCTGGTGGAACCCTCGTGGAACCTTCCCTCAGGGCCACCCCTGGACCACCCCGGAGCCTATCTGGGCTGAGACCCCAAAGCTTTCAGCTGTTGGGGGAGAAAAAAAACACTACCGACCAAAAGTATGGTTTGTCTTCAAATTCACAGACCAGGGAGTACAACCGGCCACTAAAGCCCAGCAGTTAGAGTTTCCAGCTTGCCGGCGACGCCCACTCTCGCGAGGCCGCGAGTGGCCCACGGGGTGGAAGCTACGTGCATAGCTGTGCTTTTGGTTGAAAAAACCTGGCCTTGATAACGCCAGGTCAACCAACCGCCAATGTTCTACCAAGCAGCCATAAAAGGACAGCTATGGTCAGTCTCTTGCAGGTCTGGTCAGATCAGATACAGTTCTGCTTCAGACCGTCGCATGAAGTCCGAAGCCAATAGGAAGTTACACTCGAAATCAGCCAGGTGTCGAAGTCGATCTGATGTGGCGGTGTTTCTCTTGAGGCTACCCCTGTCCTTTTGGTTGTGATTTTAAACGAAGACCTTGAGGGCGAGCCCGTTTTGCCTTCTGAGCCCGCCATATGGCCGGGATATAGCCATTCTCTCAGTTTTGTCCACAGCCCCACTTCTTCCCCGCCAAGTTTCCAATGAAACGGGGTTGAGCCCCCCGCCAAAAGGTCTAGCCACTTCACCTTGGTTTCCAGAAGGGCCAAGGGTCAGGAAGAGATTATGGGTCAACTTTGGTGGACCGACTCTCTCCTGGCCCAACCACCCAGCCTCTGCTTGTCTGACCTGCGTGTAAAAAAGTCACACGGATCGCACCAAATGCACGGCGTCAAGCGAAAGCTATCCTCATCAATCCTTTTTTACATCCCTGTTTGAAAAGAATACGGAGAACGTGGGTGCGTGTTCTTTCTACACCCGTGTTGCTTGGCAGTTTTAGTGGGGGAACTTTGCCGGGGATGTGACTTGGACAAGATTCGGGAAATGATGGAAAGATCACATCTCCAACTCGGGACGCACAAAGGGATGTGCAATACAGATCTTTGTTGGAATCTGGAAGCCCCCCCCCCCCACGGTGGCCCGGGCTGCCGAATATATTAATCGACCAACTAATGGAAACTCGAAAATAATCACAGATGTGCACACACACACACACATCCTCCCACTCATGCACGCGCATCGCAACGCAGTGCACAAACAGCGCCCGCGCTGACGGCTGGAAGTCCGAAGTCATGTAGGAGTAGCACACCAAACAGCAACCCCTGCAAGCAGAGGCACAGAACCAACCCCATCCACAAGTTGCCACCCGAGTTTCTGTCTTTGTGTAAATATTTGTTGCAACTAAATCTTATTTCACTGTAATTAGTCTTTAAGCATCCACCACTTGCAAGGGTTCTGCTTCTGGGAATCTGCACATCCGACGACTCAATTGCTGAGTCACTAACCCCCCCCCTCAGGTTTACAGTTACTAACCTTTTAGCGATCAGCCCCAAAACCATATATTTGTATGTCTGCTTGTTTGAGACAAGAAAAACCGAAACCCATTTTTAGGAGTCGGACTCCTATTTGAGTCTGCCCAAAAAAGTGATGGTGTCCTTTCGTTTCCCCTCAAACCAACCCCGAACAGGGTACCTCAAACACGCGCCACCCATTCTGAACAAAAACCTTAAACCCCCTTCGCGGAACCGCCTCCTGGTCCGCACTCAGCACGTCCAGCAGGCTTTGCTCGAAGACCGGCACCAGAGACTTGGCGCCAGGCGAATTGTTGGCCCAACCCCGAGCTGGGCGAATCGTTGCAGAACACTGCCCCACGAATAGGTCCTCCAGTAGAGAGGTTGGAATAGGGTACGCGATCTTTTTCTGTAGCCTATTTTAGTAGGGGAACCCTCCCCCAAAAAGGGTAAAAGGGCACTACTGGGGGACCTAGTTGGAGAACACCGCCCCACGCCGAGCTGAGCGATGGTGCTTTTGGAAAGCACCGCCCCACGTATCCCCAGTGACTTGTTGGAGATCACCGCTTTTCAGCTGAGTCCCCAGCTGAGTGGGTAGGTGAGTTGGTTGCTTTTTAATATGGGCTTGCACACCGCTTGCTGTGTTTTTGCAAGCCTATTAAAAGTGAACAGAACCAAAACAAACAAACAAATACTAGTAAAACATGCAAACCATATCCCCAGTTGTCCCCCATTCCGGGTCGATTCTTCCTGAATAGCACAAGTCCAATTCTCAATCTGGTTGGGGGGTTTTGTTTGGGTTAAATATCATGGATCCACCCCCTAAAGTAGGGAGATGCCACGGTCCCACCCATAGCATAGCACCCCGTTACTCATTGGCCTTTGCGAACGAGGTAAACTCAGCTTACCCCTGAATACCGTTGGTTCGTTCAATTGGAATTGAGGGCTGACAGGGAACATGCTCCTAAGGAACCAAGCATTCGCAAGGTCCTTTCAACCAGTGCTAATGACTAATGTCAAGTTCGAATGAATCGTACTCAGTGGCTCCCATATCGGGTTTCGCTATGTAGGTCATTCCTTTCCAAGCCAATATTCGATGGGGTGCCTAAGGTAAATGGAAGAATCAGGTTGCCTTCTATCATTGCGGAAGGCTCCAATTTGGGCTCCGAAAATAGACCTCCCCATGTACAGGAGTTGGAATCCAAAAACATGTAAAGCGTTTAAAAGGGCAGCCATCCGCATCTTCTGGTTGGGATTGTCTCTTCATCTCCATCTACTCAGGTGTTGACTCACGGGCATCAAAACCCAGCCGTGGCATCCAAAGAAGAAGAAACGGTACACGTGAAGGGCCCCAGACCAAAACTGGCCGCTGCTCACGGAATGTGAGGAATGAACCGCTTCGGGGTCCCCGAAGAATTAGAGGACACCACCCGTTGGATGGCTTTGCTTGGCCAGGTTTCGGGTCCCAACTGCATGTTTCACATTGTGAGCCACCCATGGAGGTCTTCGAAATTGATCAGGGTGAACGAAGCGGTCCTCGCTGTGATGGAAAAAACCTGAAAAACAAAGAAAAGAGAAAAAACGGAAAACAAACTCAACCAGTTGGCAACCAAACCAAGTCAACCTGGGCTCAAACCTCCCGAGCCGCGAGCCGGTCCCTCGCTCTGACACCCGAAAACCACCCGCCGCCCGCCCAGCGCCAGCCGCCCGGCCGCGGCGCCTGCGCAGCGCCCAAGGTCTGCGAGGCGTTTTGCAGCTCATCGGAGAGCTGCGTGAAGTTTCCTCGGAAGTCGCCAGGCCATTGGGCTGAAAGGGACAGAAACTCCGAGCCACTTGGGCTGTGGCTATCAAAACCCAAATCGGTTAGCCCCCAGTTTTCATCCGATTCAATCGAACCACTAAAATGGGTTTTCTAAAATCGGTGGTGAATTCACCTACCCCAAAATGGGATCCCATTGGTGTTGACCCACGGCCATTTGGGCATGGGTCAACATTCAACCAGGGGACCTCAGGCAAAAAAGTCCTTGTTCCCATTTACCAGGGTTCCATTCTGGGTACCCTCGGCCATTCCAGCGGAGGCCTAACCCTCAACTCGCGAAAAAATGGGCCTCAAGGGAAAACACTTGAATTGGATTGAAACTTCATGGGAAACGAAAAGGACACGAAACCTCGGTTGCTTTCCGCTCCCCTGCCAAAAGTTTAACTTTTGCTGGTTTAGTGGAAAACCCATTCGTTGGCAAAAAGTTATAGTCCTAACATATCCAAGCAAAATGCACCAAAGTGGTTGTTGTTTGGTTGAGAGGCTACCCTTTTGAGTCAGATTTAAGGGAGGTAAGAAAAACGGCCGGTTTGCTTAACTGGAGATGGTTGCACCAAAGAAACTGTTTCTAGGCCTCCTTCAGAAACGCCCAAATGCCCACGGAAAAGCTGAAAGGACCCGCAACCAAGCCACTGCCGTCCACCACGATCACCGTGGTATTCTGCTGCTCGGGCACCTCGTGAAGCACTGAGAGGGTCATACCGCCCCATGTGTGTATTTGGTCACCTTAAGTGGGTAGTAACCCATTTGCTTCACTTGGCCCACTGGGGCACAGAAAACAACGTGTTCGGATTCTGTGTCACAATTAGCCTACCTCAGAATATACATATATATATATATATATGTATATTGATATATATGTACATTGGTTAGAAGCAAACCCCAGCTATAAGCGGGCTAGTGTGTTAACGCGAAAATTCAACGAGAGCCAATGCTCCACAACTATGAGCGGAGCCTAATGTCAACGAGATCCCGCCACAAGGCGTTAAAAAGGCTCAACTTCGGCAAGTTTCCTGGCAAAAAATGCCGCGGCGAAGCCTCTGCGCACAGAATGCTTTCCTATGCCACCATGTGGGTTTGTCTCAAAAAGAGGGGGCCCTCAAATCAAAGCCCAAAAATAACACGCCCGCTTCAGCCGCCTGTCGCGTGATTCTCCCGACTCCTGTCTCGCCGCGCCTCGCCATGATCGGCGGCTGGCGCGGGGACTGCCGGCGCCGCAATGATGGGTGGGGGAATAAAGGCCGGTGCCGCGGTGGTCGTTGTGGTGTTGTACCTTGGTTCGTTGAGCCCTGGCTTTGAATAGCCATGATGTAGTCTTGCTGATTCTCACTGGGCACCCCCACAAGCGCATAGCCCTGAACTCGACAAATTCTAAAGCCCAGAAGCTGAGAAACCCAATGGCTGCGAGCCAAGGTACGTTTTGAAGATCACGATTTCCGAGGCGGTCGTAGTCGTCGCCGTGGTCGTCGTGGTCTTCGACGTAGTTGTCTCGCCGGACCATGGCCAAGGCCCGCGCTCAAGGTCTAGCGCCATCTGCAGAAAGCTGTTGTCCTTCAGACTTGGGGGTTGGTCAACAGGGGGGGAGGGGCAAAGAGGGGAGGAGGGAGGGGGGGAGGGGAGGGGAGGGGGGGGGGGGGGAACATACTCATGGTCACTGTATGGCCAGGAATACTGATCAGCCCATTATCTTAAATCTGCAACCCAAACGCAGGATCCGGATCCGGAAAAGCAAACCTGCCGGGCTTCAACTGGCGGTTGATCAAACTTCTGTGGAAAAACACAGCTCTTCGCGAGAAAAACCGCCTCTTTCACCACAACCTTTGTATTTTGCGCTCAGCCATGGTTGCTGCAGCAGCCAGCTCGCTTGCTCGCCCAGTCAGCATGCTGTTCACTTGCACAGGCAGGCTTGCAGCAGGCTGAAGCTAGTCACTATCATCGGCCTTCCAGTTGCGCTTGCCGTGACTGCTCCGTCCTGGTCCCAACGTGCGGAACCTTGCAACAAGTTCCATGAGCTTTCGCCGGTCTTTCGTGGATCTTCCGCGAAACTTGCTCCAAATGGCCTGTCCAACGTTTTGCTTTGCACCACTACCAGCACAACCAGGGCATCAAGGACGCAAGCAAAAGTGCTGTGCCTCCGCCTGCCGGTCTGCAAATATGTAAGCGTAAGCATGCCTCCAAACCTTACACGCCAAGAATCAAACTTTCGCAGACTCCTGGCCCTCCACAGTAGAAATCCTGACAGCTTGATCAACTCCCAGGAAAACTTACCTCACATGGTGAAACCGAAGGGAAATATATGGGACCCCCGCTTGAGCGAGACACCGACCCATGAATCAAAGGGCTTCTGAATCCGGAGTTGGCAGCACGCCTTTCCCAAAAAGTAAAAACCGAAGGGCGCTTGGGCAGGAGGGGCTTTGAGTCATACCACTACTTTTGCAAGAGCGGATTTCCCTATGGAAAAAAAGCTGAATCGAAATTGGTATGGGTCAGAATTAAAGTAAACCACCAAGGGACCTCAGGCTTTCGTCCTTGTTTCCACTTGCCAAGGTTCCATTTTGGGTTCCTATTTTCGACCCACGCCCAAATGTAGAAGGCACAACTCCCTTCGCCCAGGGAGTGTATAAGCCAAAATGGGCGGACATGGAGCCATGCTAAACAAACAAATCTGACGAATGAACCGCTGGCAACCGAAAGGCTGATGACCCAAAGTTTCGCCCATTTTGTTCACCCTCTGCGAATTTGGTGAGCGATTCTCTCACACTGAATCCGGTCCTGCAGCTCACAGTCTGCTCGGCAGGTCAGGAGGCATCCTGCGAGTTGGGCTTCCATTGGCCCCTGGCCCGCCGGGCCCATGGGACTTTTCACTCACTTCCGATCGAGATGGCCTAGAGTTGTTTTTAGTTTTTGTTCTCGGGGCTGTTCGTTTTCAGATCCCCCGCTAAAAAGCTTGACTGGTGGGCTGAATGGAAATTCCCCCACTAAACACTAGAAGCTAAAAAGCCAAGGGGATGGCTGGGAGCCACCAAGCTTTTTAAAATACCTCTAGAACGGTCTTCCCAAAAAGTGTTTAAAGTCCAGGAACTCAGGGAGTGAGTTCAGGATTCCACTTGAAAAGGTTCACCCGTTCTAGGACTTTTCCTCAAAACGGAAGTGGACGATCGGCTTCCGAAACCGCGCAAATCGTGTGCCACCCTCCGATCAGCGTCCATGATTGAGTACGATCCTTTGGATTCTGCAACACATGGTTGGCTCTGATGACATGGTTTTTGAGGCTCTACTTTGTAAATGGTGGTTTCCAGTTACCTGCGATGGCAACTGGAAGCCCTGGGTTGGTTGTTGCTTGGAGAATGAAGGAACCCCAATCTGGGTGTCCAAGAGAAAGTTTTGAGGGGAAACCACGTGGCGATCTCCCCTACATCTCGCCTACAAATTAACAAGAAACCCAAAAGGGGGGTGCCAACAAAAGAGCTTGCTCTACAATTGCCGGCTTTTTTGGGGATCCATGTTCATCTGATGACCATCTTCTGGTTTCTTCCTTTAGGTTAGGAGAGGACAATGACACAGCGACCTGCTTGATCGTGTTTGGCGGAGACGGCCCGCCTTCTGGTGGGGAGGAGGGGACACGACTGACGGGACAGGGGCGGAAGGCGACCCAACTACCTGTCTTTTTGGGGGTGCGAAGGGGGCGCCCATTGAAAAGGAGGCACACCATCACGTATCTTTTGATGGTGGGAAACAACTCGAGCCCGATCCAATGCGAACAGCAAATTATATGCATGAGGCCTTAAAACCCAGAAGGGTCTGTACATATATACATATACACTGCAAAGACATGCAAACAAGTTCTGATCCCCGGCAATTGTTGAAGAAGGCAGTTTGCTCCCAGGGAACCATCCCTCATAAACAACCCAATGGGCTATCACTCAGTCCACCCGAAACACATCTCCAAACACACATGTCTCCCAAGCGTGCAGCCAGGCGGCCGAAGAAGCTGCAAAGACGGAGGAAAGTCATGGGGAATTGGCAAAGTCTCCGCGAGGGTCAGTCGCCGGATGGTAGAATCTTGGCCGAGTCTCGGCCCATGCCGGTTCAATATCGAGGCTTGGGCCAAATGCAAGCGACCCAGGCCATCCAGAGCAAGCGAAAAGGTAATTTGACCCTTGAACACTTGAGCTCGTCACAACGCCGATGCGACGTCCTCGCTTGCCGAAATTCCTGAGGCTTGGGCAACAGAAACAAGCAGCTTGCTGTCATCCTCGGATTAATCGGGAAGACGATATCGGAAGTGGTTCCGAGCAAATCTCCAATGGGCAACCCAATTTGACCACCGCAAACAGATCGGCCAGCAGTGATTCGTGCCCCTCTCGGCCATATCAAAAACCGACGAGAATGGGCCCAAGCCTGCCCTTCAAAGACTCTTTTTGGACTGAACCGAAAGATGCAACCTTTCTGGTTGGGGGGCTGTTAGGCACCTGCAAACCACGGGCCCATTTTCTTCTTTTCTGAGTTCTTCATGTTTTTAGGGGGGTGTCTGATTTTGGTTTCCCGTTGACCAACCAACCAAAATGTCCCAAAGGGACGAACCACTTGGGTATGTGTCCCCTAAAAGATGGTGGTCCTTTCGGTGTCCCGTTCAACCAACAACCGTGTTGTGACTTCCCCTGCCTTTTACCGATGGAAGTGGACCATTGGGGGCTTCTCCAAAAGGAAGGTCGTCTTTGCCCCGAAGGGACGCACGAGTTCACCACTCAGGGGCAGCACAAAAACGCGGCAGCAGCGCATGCAGGTCTCGCCCCTCACTGGGATGTCCACCTGGAGAAGAAAAAAAAACAGTCGTGTCGTCGTTGGGAATAAACACGCCTCCCATCTGCCAATTTTTAACAATTTGGGAGTTTCTCAAGGAGTTCCGACCCCCTTTTGTTTGATATTTAAAGGGAACACCAACAGGAAACCAACGATTTTGGGGGACCCGTATCTTGAGAACACGATGTCCAAAACCTGAACTAAGGGATCCACGTAAAGGGGCTGAGCTCGCCATATCCCCAAACCCAGGTTGGTGGATGCAAAATGGCAAAAAAAAGATGGAGGATGCAGAGTTCCAAAAAAAACAAAACACATCCCTTGTCTACCAAAGCGCCATCCAAACAGTTTCTGGAACCAACCATTTTCCAACCAACAAATGTCTGGAACCGAACTTCCATCCAGAAAGGAAGGATTTCGAAACCTCCTGCTGAAACCCAGAACATGGCATTTGATTCTCCGAATGGCTCCTATGTATCCTTTACACTGGACCAGACAAAACTTGCGCTTCTTGAAGGTCAGAGCGATTGCAACTCTTTCCCCCGATAATCCTTCATGATAATTGACCGTCCCACGCCTGCAACAAAAAACGCACTTGTTAATTCGATCCGCCGCTGACCCGATAGTATCTTTTCAAAACAGCCGAGAAGCATAAACTTTGGTCTCACTAAAAAGCCCTATGTCGGGACCAAGTCAGAAGCTGATCCTGTCGGTCGTTGTCTTTCTGCCGCACTCCATGCTCAGCCTTCCGAGTTGGCGTTGTGTTTCTATCGCATGCCCCAGCCCAAACCACTACACCACCCCCCAAGGAATACACTGCCGCAAGCCACTATTCATGGTTGCACTTGTAGAACCAGACCAAATTTCAAACGTGCAAGGTTGGGGGTCCCCTGTGCGAAT